AACAAGGCCGTATATGTGTATACATACATTCATACATAGTACTTTATATGAATAGGAAAAACAGCCAAACAGCAACAACCAAAGTTGATAATCATAATAATAATAATACTGATAATGACTACAACAAGCAATACAAGTTAGATTCTATAAGTGTTCTATGCCTTATAATCTCTCTTAATACAATAATAATAATAATTATTATTGTTTCCTTTAGTTCCTAGAGGAACATAGGGCTTCAGCCGCTTACGTCACCATTGCCTTCGATCCCTTGTCAACGTTTTCGTCGTCTGGCTCCACGTCTGCCCACATGCTTTCATCTCCTCTTCACATCACCCTTGGACGACCAACTCGCCACTTCCCGTTCGAGATTTACTCGAGGGCTTGTCTAGTGATTTCACTCACTTGATGTTTTCCTCAGAGTATGGCCAATCCACCTCTATTTCTTCCTGCTTATTTGTTGCACAAATAGTTCCTGCTGGGTTGGTTCGTTCATTGCCAGAGATCTCTGTTGTTGATCTTTTTTGGCCGGCCACCTGATCTTGAGTGAAGACAGATGTTGATGAAGGTCTGTAGTTTGTTTGACGTGCTCTTCATGACGCGCTAAGTCTCTGATCCATAAAGTAGCACTAACTTCATATTGAATTTGAAAATGCGGATCTTATTCTTAATGCAGAGTAGTGCTGTTGATTTCCACACAGACTTGACAGTAATGAAAGCTTGCCTTGCTTTCCCGATCCTTGCTTTGATGATATCCTTATCAGTTCCATCCGTCGGTAGTTGAAACGATGCTTCCCAGGTAGTCAGGTAGGTGAGGTAGGCTGCTTCTTTCAGATATCTCCCATTTACAATGATTGTTGTCTGTTATTGTTGCTGTTGGCCAGGAATCTTCATCACCTCTGTTTTCTTTATGTTCACCTGAAGTCCTATCTTCTCTGGATGCTTCTTCTGCCAACTTGTTGCTTTTCACTTGCATATCTCTCAGTTTGTGGGAAATCAGACATATATTATCGGTGAAGTCCAAATTCTCCAAGTTTTTTGTATGGGTCCATTTTATATCTGTCTCCTCGTTGCCCGCTGTCTGTCGCATTATCCTTTTATAATAATACCCCTACCACAATAATCTTTATATTAAGAGTAGGTAGTATAACATTGGGGTTCATTTCTAGCCTGATTGATTTTAAATGGTATTAGGATACACCATTTCTTTTTCCGAATTAAGCCTGATTGATTTTTTCTTATCTGAGATGTAGTCAGTCAACTTGTGTATTCCTTTTTTTTATAAAAGACAAAATAATTGAGCAAAGAATATTCCTTTCTATAATCTCCTCTTTTGGCTCTACAATCACATATACATGTTAATATACATAGAATATTCTAGTCAACAACAATATTAGTGCTTTTTTAAATAATATCGATTTATAAAGTAAGATCACAATGGAATTACAGTTCATTAAAGATGCATAAATTATAACGATAACGAAAATATAATAGCAAGTTTAATATCAAATAAAATTAAGGAAAATTCCTCAGAAAATTGAGTATCACTCGAACCTTGATGGCCAGGGTGGTAAGGACCAACTTCTTCTTTTGGACATTAAAAAATTAGACTTCTTAATGTGGATCCCAACGACCAGCCAGCCTCAAGAATATGTACTAGACGAACTTTTCAGATGAAGTTAAGATTTTTCGGTATGCGGTAAATGACTTTGAAAGCTGTCTCGTTAGCATCAATCAATCTTGTGTTCTGTATCCACTCGATGAGATAGAATATCGCTACGAATAGATTTTATTTGACCTTTACTTAACCAACCACTAAGCAGGGTGATGTTCGGAAATCTGATATCCGTATACCAACAAATCTCAATTTCGTTTTAAAAGTTCATCTACTACATATTGCTGAAACTGGTTGTTAGGATTCATATTAAGAAGCCTAATTTGTGCGTCCAAAAGAAGCTAGTTCAGACAGTGTCCTTACCACCCTGGCCATCAAGGTTCAAGTGATACTCAATTTTTTGTGGAATTTTTCTTAATTTTAGTTGATATTCTATCTGCATCTTTAATGAAGTGTAATTCCATTGTGATCTTACTTAACAAAACGATATTATTTAGATAACACTAATACTGTTATTGACTACTATTCTAGAATATTCTATGTATATAAACATATATGTATATATAGTTGTAGAGCCAGAACAGGAGGAATTTATCAAAAAGAATATTCTTTGCTCAAATAGTTTGTGTTTTATAGATGTCTGAATTAATATTCTCGCTATACTCTTTCTTAGTTATTGTACTATTACAGTTGTCATATTCGAAATTTGAATTTAAGATACTTGTAATATTTGATATACATAGCATACATTAGAGTTTAAAATTTGTATTGGAACAAATTTAAACGTCACTAGACAGTGGTACTTCTTTGCAGATGTAGCTCAGACTGTTAGTCTAGACAATCGAATTTCACTACGCACTAAGAGTGGGGGGGGAAGGGGTTAAGGGTATGAAGTCGACTTCATCTCCCGAGGTTTTTACAGGTAGATATGTAAGGCACATCGCCAACTGAATGGACCATAGATGTTTGCGTTCAATCTCCAGCATTAAGTGGTTGACTAAGAAGTAATTTGTAGACTGCTTCAACACTACGGCATACAGTGCCCTAAGTCTTAATCGAACTTGTTCAACAACTGCAGGCTATATGACAATGCCACATTTCAGGTGATCCACAACGGAAAACTCTTCGAAGCATGCCTTGAAAGTGAAGACTGAAGTGAGACAAGGCTGACTGGCTATTTGATATCACCAACAATGATATTCCTAACTATGATGGACTGGATTATGCGTCAGACTGTGCACAGAGAGAGTGAGAAGACACGAATACGTTGGACAGATAGGAAGACTCTACAATGTTACACAAACTTGAAGAATTGCAGACAGGCAGGTGAAAATCAACTAACTGGCTGAAGAAGCAGTAACACAGAAGACAGGACTGAAGGTGAATATAGAGAAGACAGAGGTGATGCGGATAACCAACCAACCACCATCAAGAGCTACAACAACAACAACAACAAGCACCAATCACCATCAACGGAAGGGAGAGATTTGACAGAGGTTACTTCCTTCACTTATCTACGAAGCATCGTTCGGACTACAGGCAACAGCACGGATGAAGATGTCAAAGCCGGCCAGCCAGAATCGGATAGGCAAGACAGACGCCTCCATCAACACCTAAAACCAGTTTGGACTCACTCAGCTAGTCAGCATAAACAACAAGATTCGGTGGCATAGTGGTTAGGACTCTCGCCGACCATGCACATGGTCCGAGGTTCGAGCCCACGCCGACGCACACCTGATATCTATGGTCGGCCTGCAAAATTTAGGCTACCGATATCCACAACAGTTGGTCTAAGCCACGTAGGAAGGTGTAGACTTCCAGGCTGGGGTCCTCGGGACGGTAAAAATCTATGGTTGGAAACAATTGGTGACATGGCTCAAAATCGTTCTCAGTGGCGCAGATGCATCCACTCCCTGTGACTTATGATCTTCAATGAAACTGTTTTGTATTTCTTTATTACTCCTTTGTCTCACACCTCTACTCACTGTTTCTATTATGCTTTTCTTGTACTTTCTTCTCTTGCTTCGCGTGCTACACGGAATGTGGCGACTTGAACTTCCGCACATTTGTGCAAAGTTCTATGTCGAAAACAGACAGACAGACAGATGCTGAAAATTCCATACTTGTACCAAAAATACAGTGTGGAATCAAGCTGTAATCAAAAATAAATAAATAAATAAAAATATCAAGTCACTCAGTTGGTTCTTCTGTATGTGTCAGAAACTTGCACTGCGCGTGAGTCACCAGAAGCATTTCCAACAAGCCACTCTGTAGATTTATGTCAACGGTTTCCCGCTTCACTGGCTCCATATTGAAGATCAAATGACCAGCCGGCTGGCCAGAAAGAATTAGCACCAAGAAACTCTGGCAATGAGCAAACCAAACAAGAGCCAATCGCTCAACAAATATATAGGAGAAAATGGAGATGCATTGGGCATACACCATCGAGGAGACCGTCGAATAACATCGCGCTCATTGCATGTCATCGTTCGAGTGGAATTTCAATGGGAACCGACAAGTGGGTCATCACTGAGAGGGTGACATGGAGGAGATCGTGTGTTGGAGAGAGAGAGAGAGAGAGAAGAAGATGAGAGATTATGGTTATTATTGATCCCAACCAGTTGAAGACGACAACGCCAAATAGAACAGAGTGTCGATGTGTTTGATCGCATAGCGGATTTCATCATGAGCTGAAATCAGTTAGAGGACCACTGGAAAACCTGGAAGTACTGGACAGATGTTTCGTCCTAGTTTGGACTCAGTACAAACCCACCGTCGGGGTTCGAACCCAGGACCTTCTCGTTACAACGCGAGCTCGTAGACCATTATAACCCGCTGGGACCCGATCCATTTGTTCTTGAATTCTAACTTCTGTCAATTCACGATATAGCACGACCATTTAGCAATGTCTTGTTCGACGAGTTAGTGCCTCATCTTCAACCTGCTGTACCCTACTGGTCACGGCTTCCCACTAGAACGCCAGGTAACTAACTGCGTGAATAGAACCAGTCGCTAGTGAGCATCAGATTAATTTTCAAGTATTGGTTTTGTAGGGATTTTGTTTGATTGCCTGGAGGATTTCATCATGATGTCGATGTGTTATTGAAGCTCTATGTTCCACTCGGAACCGAAGGAAATAATAATAAAATAATTTTAAAAAATTAACATTTATAAGAACCAGTCATTTTTTAGGCGGTTAACAGCTGATGAAAAGCCGTGAAATAGATTAAAAACAACATGAGCACCTTTATTATTTCGCAAACATATGGTTGTTCTCGCTTAGTTGAAACTGATCAAGGCGACAGGTTATATGAAATAATAATAATTGGGGGAAAAATGAGAAAATGGTGGAGGGGGGGGGCAAACACACACACACCCTAGAACTCACCTTTGTATCGACTAAATATCCAGCAAATATAGAGATCACGCCAAGTCCTAAATTCTGCACCGATTGAATCAACCCATAGGCTGTGCCTCTTTGATGCAATGGTAGAATAAAGGCAACCATTGGCCATAGACTACTCGCTAGAATTGAATACGCGAAGCCCATGATTATCATGATAGCTATCGGTGGGATTTGACCAGTAGTGAATGCAAAGCATATATGACACAGCATAGTGACAATAATACCACTAAATAACCAGTAGACATTATAACCAATAAAGTCGATAGCTGAACCGAATACAGGACTTGCCACAGCCGATACAATATAGACTAGGCTATTGACAATACCAGCGTCTTGAACAGATAAACCAAATTTTCCTAGATTTTCAAGTATCATAAAAAAATTAAATATTATTATTATCATTATTATAATTAGAAAAAACAAACACAACAGCTGATAGTGACTACAAAAAGATACAACGTCTGTCTTTGTCTGGATTCAACATAGAACTTCACACCGAACTGCAACAGTTCCAGTTGCCACGTTCCAAATAGCACACAAAAGTAGACAAGAAGATGAGTGAAGAGAATCAATAGAGTTTGACAAGTATAAGAGTGAAACAGAACGGATAATGGTAGAAAGAAATATGAAAGATTACAGAGACCGAATACATTGGCGCTGGCCATTGACAACGATTTTGAGCCATGTGTCACCTATTGTCTCCAACCATTGATTCCTAGAGTCCCGAGGCGAGGGCCCCAACCCGGAAGTCTGCATCTCCCTACCTGACCGACTCAGTTTAACTGTCAAGGATTTCATGGATTGATGAGGCCATGTTTATGTTTGGCCACCACTGGCTCTTTTTCAACCTGCACCTGTTATCTATCAGCTAGTAATACACGTCGTCGGGGGAGGCGATGGTTAGGCATGCGCACCACGTGACCTAGCCATCTTAGTCTATGTAACTTTATAGCCTCGTCGATTGATTTTCCCTGTTTGCCTAACACTCGACGCCTAACGTCAACATTACTTACCTTATTAGACCACCTAACGTGAGACAGAGATCGCAGACATCTATGATCGAAAGCAGTCAACCTTTTCATGTCTTCAACTCGTATTGGCCATGTTTCAGAGCAGAGCCATAGAGAAGGACGGAGCGAACTGGTGAGCAGTACACACGTCCCTTGGTTGATAACCTGATGTCACGCCTACGCCAGAGATGGTGTAAGTCAGCGAAAACAGCTGGAGCTTTTTGGATCCGTGCTGAGATTTCATCGCCAATCAGTCCGTTGGTGCTGATACAACTTCCCAAATAGGTGAAGTGGTCAACATGTTCTATCACTTCACTCCCTATCACTAAGCTGTGAGTTGACGTAGTCCAGTCCTGTAGGAGCATCTTACATTTTGCAGGGGCGAATCGCATGCCAAATATACGAAGATTGCTTCTCAAGGTGTTCAGAAGACTGTGCCTCATTTTGTCAGCATCCTCCCCTAACAGGACTATGTCATCTGCATATTCTAAGTCCATAAGACTATTCACTGGTAACAAGTCGATTCCTAAGTCGTTAAGTTCAGTTAAGGATACTTCCATCAGGATATCTATGATGAAGTTAAACAGAAATGGGGAAAGTGGACATCCCTGCCGGACACCACGATTTTCATGTGGTTGTGTTCTCTGAGTCAGCTAGCCGGATAGCGGTTTATTTGCGAATCTTTCATTTCCCCAACACTAGGCAACATCCTCATTTCAGCGCATACTTCAATTCGAAATGAAGTGGGCTCTTAGATTTTTCCACGAGTTTACTATTAGTCATCTCTTTCTCTTGGTGGATGACCTTGAACGTGACTCTTTGCTTGTTTTGTGTAAGGTTCTTTCGTTGTGGTTGTCTAATGTTTGTATGGGATTGGTTGATATACATTCTCATCTTTGACTAGATCTTCAGCTTTCTTGGTGTATTCTTCTCTATCCCTGACTACTATTGTTCTTCCTTTGTAAGCTGGTAGAATGACTTTATGCTTTCTATTTTTCAGCTTTTTGAGGGGATTTAATTCTTGAGAGTTGAGTTGTGTATGTTGTTTTTGTCAGAGGTGTCAAAATAGATGATCAATAAATAATGATATCCTTGGACAGAAACTAACAAAAGAGACCATGGAGCAATTACTCAGCAACGACGAACACCTCCCACCGCAATCAAAAATGCAAAACACAAGTTGGATAGAATGCATAAACCTATACGTACCTAACAACGTACTTTTAATTCAACAGGTTAAAGGAACACCCATGGGATCTCCATTATCAGGTTTGATTGCAGAAACAGTGATGCAAAGGCTGAAAGCACAATTCTACCAAAGATAACACCCAAAATTCGGATACGTTACGTAGACGACACATTTGAAATAATCAACTTAATAAACGTCTTCAACGACATCAAATTCACAAGAGAAGAGGAATCCGAGAGCAAAATCCTATATTTGGACGTCTTAGTCAAGCGAACAAATACAGGAGAATTAGAAATTCAAGTTTATAGAAAATCAACTCACACAGACCAAATACTGAATTACAACAGCAACAGTCCAATCACACACAAAAGGAATCGTATACTAACACTATTCAAGAGGGCGAGGACTCATTGCAGCACTCCCACATTAAGGAAAATTGAAGAAAGATATCTCATGGATGTCTTCCAAAAGAATGAATATCCACGAAACTTCATCAAAAGACATCAGCACACGCAAGCCAACCTACCAAATCAAAGGCCTCCGGAGAAAGCACAAAAAATATCGCCCTACCATATTTAAAGGACATTTTAGAAATCACTGCAAGACTCTTCAAACCTTTAGGAATTGATGTCGTACACAAACCAACAAAGTCACTTCACTCAATTCTATGCCAACCAAAAGACTCAACAACGCAAGAAAATAAAACCAATATCATCTACAAAACAAGGTGAAAGGACTGCAAGAAACACTACATTGGTCAAAGTGGACACCCTCTTCGTCTTCGTATCCATGAACACAAACTAACCGTCAAAAGACATGACATCCACTCCCTCATATCGCCTCACTGAATACAGACAACCACGGACATCAATTCGACTAGGATAACGTTCAAATATTAGACAAAAGAAACGCCAAGAACGCTAAAGAATTCTCTAGAAGCCTGGTATTCCAGTGAATCGTCAATCAATAGACACATCGACATAAACAAAATTTACCAATCAATAAGAAGGAAGTTTTGCACACGAAGGATCAAACTTCAAGGGTCAAGGAAACAGTCAGTACCAATACAAGTAGCCTAGAGAGTGTGAAAACACACAAAACAACCAAAGAGTCACGTTCAAGGTCACCCACCAGGAAAGATGACTAATAAACTCGTGGAGAAATGTAAAAAGCTCACTTCAACTTCAAATTGAAGTATGCGCTGAAGTGAAGATGTTGCCTAGTGTTGGGGCAATGAAAGCTTCGCTAATAAACCACCATCCAGCTACCTCAGAGAACACAACCACACCAAAATCATCCACCTGAGCTACAAATCTTCTCCATCGTATCTAGGTACAATGATTATATAACGAAAACTAAAAAAATATCCAAGCAATATATGAGGCCGATTCCCTGGAGCAATCTGAGCTGACTGGTTGAGCTTCAACAAAGAACTCTGTAAAAAAAAAGTACAGCAAGTCAAGTTGCCACATTCATTGCGCCATCTTTGGCAACGATTTACCGCCATACCACTAATAGTCTCCAGCCAAGGGTTCATAGAATCATGAGAACCCCAAACCAGACAGCCTACATCTCCCTACAGGACTAAAACTGACTGTCAAAGATTTCATAGAATGATTGCAGGTTTTGATTTGACTATACTCAACTATTTTCCAGCCAGATCTTATGTCGGCTAAGATTGCTAGTTGAGGGAGGCGGTCCCCCTTGCATGTGCAACACGTAACCTAGCCATCTGAATCGATTCACTTGCACAATTCCATCGATATTTCTCTTTGATAGACGGAGTACCACGTCAGGTTGAATCATTATTGGCCTGATGGATTACGCTGTGACGTTCGAAGTGATGAGTGAGAACACTATCACTCACTGGAGGAAAAAGTATGTCCAGTGACGAGTCTCAAATGGGACGAAACGCGAGCATAGGACTCTGTTGCTAGTCACCACCAAAACATGTAGCTTCAAGTGTTTAATCCTGGTGGTAGCAAGACATCCGTTTAAGCAGCCCATATACTAAACTGAAGCTGTCCAGTGCGGTCATACAATAATTAAAATAATCCCCAGAATGTTTAGAAAGTCAGGAGAAAATCTCACTGAATGTTTCAGTGTGTAATCCACAACCTTTTCAGCAGAATTACTTCCGTTTCATTTAGACATCAGAATACACAGTTTGAACGGTATGTAAAACAATGTGAACTTGTCTGAAGGTCAGTTATATGTGAATAAATGTGATTAGCCATCACATATATATTCGTATTGATATTGTTAACTTGCTATTGTTAAGTTGTCTAAATGATAGTTGTATGTGTGTTGTTAACTAGATGAAAACCATTTTAATTCGATTTTAAAGGGAAAATATTGCAACAATAGTCAACAGAATATTGAGTATGCCAGAGCTTATCATCCTGCAGCTAGGTGGTGAGTTGGTTCGCGTCTATCGGACAACAAACTCTTTAGTGCAGTCAAACTAAGGTCGACAGATACCCTTCTCATGTTAACGCCAAGTATGTTAAGGAATTTATGTATATCTGCCGGAGCAGTTGCATTAGAAGAACAGAGAGGAGGGCAAACCTCTGATTTTCTCAACATATACTGAGAAGCCTACATTTTCAGCAGAGAAGAAACTCTTATAATAGAGCTTATTACCAGGTATCTTCTTGGTACGAGTCATTTTAGGTGGAAATCGCAGGGTCCTTAAAAATTATCAATAGACAAGATGGCTTAATTCTCCACAAGTTTGCCAAAGCAATCTCTGACAAACGCCTGAAACCCGATTAATGTGTTCAGAAAGAAGTAGTTATCAGTCTTTCTCTGCCATCGGATTATGTAATATCTGGCTTTAACCTAACCACCCTTTGATATAATATAATTTTACTTGTCTCTTGTTTCTATGATTTGAGTTGAGCTCAGTCTATTAGTCACTCATTGTCTTACGCATTTCTCGTCTTTATTACATAACTAACTCCTTTACCATTGTATGAATACATTTCCTTTGTTTAAATCTGAACTCCCTGTGTAAAAACTATATAAGTGTAATTTTCTGAGCACTGTTCACTAGCTGGGGACACTTTCTGTCAACTGACATTATGAGGAAACAAAATTTGTAAGTATGTTAAAACTTTTCCGTACATAAACTTAATAATAATTTATTTAGGCTGTA